AACAATATCAAAGTATGAAAATTCGTGAGAAATAAATGTAATTTATAAACTATGTCATTTTTAGTATTTGCGTAATGTTGCTTTATATTTTTATTATTATTTAATTCATTTCCAAATATTCAAAGTTCGGTGTTGATTTAATTGTTCCCGCATTGAACAATATTCCTAGCTCTGTCCCTGTTACCTATTCCATCTTCGAAATAATTTTTTCGTCCTTATATACATTATAGATCCCATAAAATGTGTAGATAAAAATATTTTGATTGATTATGAACAGATTATGAACATTAGCCAAAATGACATTAGTATTTTCCAGTCACACAGGCCCTTTTATTCAATGTGCTCAAATACATGTATTATGTCCCCCGAGTTCCTTGTGCATTGTAATGAAAGAAAGATAAGGTGTAAGTGGGACAAATTCCGAACTTATGGGTATAGAACAAGAAGTTGAAACAACATTGTTATAAGTCGTTGGTACGTGGCTCCGGCATTTTTAAGACCGAATGATCTCATCTTGTAACAGTAAAGACCTCTATAGGTGATGAATGAGGTGTGCTCTTGGTCAAGCTTATACATTGGAATCTAATTGTTTCCTAAATATGCATCCATATGGATCAGCTTCTACCTCATCAAAGACAAATGGTGATCCCCAGGCTTCTTGTGATGCTTGTATGTGATACCTATTTTAGTTAGGTAAGCTAAAATAGGTCTTTTTAATCTGGCCTCTCTGGCACTATTGATTAACCTTTCTTGGAACATATTTACTCTTGGCCTAGATAGATCAACATTGTATGATCTAGCCTTGACTTGATGCCATCGTATTGGCTGCCTTTAATTCATGCAGTTTCTCCAAAATTGCATTGTAGTTAGATGGTAGGTCGACTACTACAAAGTCAGCGATGATTTTTTTCGGTAGAGTACATATCCCAGTTCAACAATAAGGAAAATTTGACCTTGCACGTCAATGGGGTCACACGTAAAGCTATGCAGTCTTTTGGTGTAGGGTTGTAGACATTTTTCTAGAATTCCCATCCATGTTGAAGTCTTGGAATATAGGATATTGACAGAAATTCCATTATCTACAAGAGTTTAGTGTATATTGATTCCGACGACAAGCATGGTAAGTGGTAACCACCAAGGTATCACTTTGGTTCTACATTATCCTATGAGAGTTCTATTATGAAAACCCAAACTGTTTAGGATACTGTTTGAATCTAAGATTGGTCCTATCCTACCTCGTAATTCTGTTAGACTCGAGCTTTTGTGGCTTGTTGATGCTCCTTTCTTGATCCTTATGCACAATGATTTCCGCCTATCAGCATCCTGATTTCAGCCCTAGATTGGGAATTCTTTACTTGTGAATTTGGGATAGCTGATTGGAGATTTGCCTACTGGTGTGGGTAAGATGGCTGGGAAAAAAGTGCTTGGGTTGTTTCTCCTAGTTTAGCCACAAACTTTTGCAATTTTCTTTGCCTGATTAAGGCATCCACTTGCTCTTTCAAATCTCAACATTCATTTATGTTATGGCTTATTGTTCTGCGATATCGACAATTTCTATTTTGATTGGTTCCCATTGAACTCTTCTTTAGAGTGAGGTTTGCGGGAGACCTCTTTATCCACTACTTGCATAAAATTCTCCTTCTAACGTGGGTAGTACTATTGAGATCTTTCTTGGTATGGTCGAGGTCATTCTACATCCCTTCTGGCATGGGTCTTTTGACCGTTCTTTTATCATTTGTCTAAGCTGATCAAGGGGATCTTCTTTTTCTTCCTTATGGTTTGAGATCGCTTCCTTTGCTCCTATGTGTTTCTTAGCCCGATCCTGGAATTCATGGTAGGTTTTGTGCCTATTCTCGTGCACGGACCACCAGATCCTCGTCCTGGTCTTAATTCGGACAATGATGCCACGAGGGCTACATCGTCTTAAATTTTCTTTGGGCATAGTCCTGGCTCTAGTGCCCATGAACTGAGTTAGAAATGCTATTGCTAGACTTGTCCAGTTTCTAATCAATCTTTGGTGCAATTTTCTCAACCATCTTTAGGCTTTATCTCTCAAGGTTAAGAAAAAAGCTCTGCACATTATGGCATTGCCAGCTCATTGCAATTCTGTCCGTAACTACACTTATCTAGGTGGATGAGGAGGTCTTCCTCTCCTTCATATCCTACAAACTGGGGCATTTTTAACTTTTCGATAGGGATTCAGCCAGTATATCATCCGTGAAATGGGAGCGAAGATTAGCAAAGTATTCCTCCATTACCCCTTTGTTCTTGGCCTCCAGGTCAGCTATTCTCCTTTTTAGTTGGCTTATTTCTCGTTTGTCGCATTCTCCTTTTGTGGGTTCGTTTTAGGTGCGGTTAGGTTGCTCATTTTTGGGCGTAAGCGAACGCTCAGTACCTAAGTTGTCAAAACACACTTCCTGTTTTTCTTGGTGTCCATTCTGCCTGGGAAATAGGCCATTTTGCTTTGTCTATTTTACTTTTGGAATATTCCTTCTCAGTAAAGTATAGGCTCTTTCGAATGGGAATTTGCCTGCTTCTTACTGTGAGGCAATTCCACTTCGATTTCAGCCATTGGGATAGTAGTCTATTTTTTATTCTGCCCTCTGCACAGCAGTTGTGAGGTGTTCTATGACATCTTTCATGGTAGTGAGCTAAAGGTGGTCGCCCTCAGCAAACTCGTTCCTCCTATGGAAAATTTTTGGGACAATTGTTTCATTGGGATTAGTGCAAGAACGATTTCTAGAGGCTGAGCTGTGGCTCGTGATTTTGTTGGAATGGGACAATATGTGTTTTTAATGGGAAATTTATTGGAAATGTGGGTTATTTTTTTACGAGGCCATCTTTCTAGTACCAAACCGTTGATAACTAAAAATAGCGTGGCAATATTGGATCAACTTAGGAAAAATGTGTATAGAGTATGACCGGCATTAGATTAGAACTATAAAGTAATTGCTTTTAAAGGAAAAAAAACTATTGGGGAGTGTTTGTTGTCAAGTGACTTAGCTCTGCTTTAGGAGGGGACTATTTGTCCTTATTTATAGGTTGGAAGACCACACTACTTGCCCCTTCAATGTCATTCAGCTACAATATTGACCTAGAAATGTGTACCATCGCTTAGAATTTTGGTTTTCTGATGGTTGTTGAGGTCGGCCATGCAAGTCATCATGATGCCTACATTTCAACTATGGCATCAGGTAATAATGATTTGTAGTTGAGTAATCATTATTTGCTTGTAATTGGTTGAAAATTAGGTGCTGATATCATGATTGCCACATGTCATGTTAGGATTGGTTGTTGTTGGTAAGGTGGGACAATGTGGCAGTGAATATAAATTATGATGTCTCTGTAAATTACGGCAGCCATTTGTTCGATTTGGTCTTTTTTTTATGGTGTCCAATATTGAGATTACTACAAGAACAGTATTTTGAAATATTTATTTAGCCCGTCTGGCAGTGATTTTCCTCCTTCAGGACATTGATTTTTTGACCGTTAACTATGGCAGGCGGTCCCCACATCACTCACACATGGTCAAACATTACGGCTTGAACAGTGGCTCAACGGTTGGATTATTGCTTCTCAACGGTTGAAATTCTGCTTTTTAGCAGAAACAAACAGGTACTTAATAAGGTATGAGATCGGACTCCAACATTATCCTCCCGAGTCCATTGTGACAAAAGAAAGATAAGATATAAGTTGTAAAAACTCCAAACTTATGAGTGTAGAACAAGAAGTTGGAACAACATTGTTATCTATGATTTGTAAATTTGCTTCATTAAAGATTTTGTTTTTCCCTTAATCTTCTCAAGAGTACATGACTTGTTAAGGTAAAGTTCTTACTCTATTTCATTACTTAGAAATAAGGAGATATGAAAGAAGAAAATGCTTTGCTTTCTAGTTATTCCATCTTGTTTGTTTTTCTTAATTTGTGGAACCTAATTATTGTCGAGCCCTAATTATTGCCACTTTGCGGAGCTGAACGTGGATCAACTTCCACGGTGAGGTCTGCCCCCTCCCAGTGGTCGAGGGGGCGGAGCTTTTTGGATAAAAAAATTAATTAAGTATTGTTTAGGAATTTGCATTCTTGTAAAATTCTATGAAGGAATAGTAGTCCTCGTAAAATTTGATTTTTCTCTAATTTATCTTATAAATATGGAGCAGTCCTTAAGCTTTATGGATTATCATCAAATAGAGCGAAAAAGGCATTAGAGGAGATATGATTGATATTTTCTCTTTTTTCATCATAAGGAATTATTGTGGTGACAGGAGATGGCGTAATCTCACATTGAGTTGAACCTCTAAAAATATTGTATGTTCTCGATTGTTTATTTTCTATCTTTAAATTGATTGCTCTTGGTGTGATAGAATTAGGGCTTACGATTCTCAGCAGTTTTCTCTTTTTCTTTAGAGAAATCTCAAATATATAAATTGAAGAATGAGTAATAGCTCACTGGTTTGGCTCCACAACACTAAATTCTGAAATTTCTTGTAATTAAAGAACTCTTTTTAAAGATTTTTAGGACATTACTCTAACTTGTGTTTTTATGTAATCTTCGTTTTCATGTATGGCTTTTAAAGCTAAAAGTTCAGGCATCATTCTAGTATTATTGCCCTTCGCAAAACCAAATGAAGAAGTAATGAAAACTCCGCATAAACAGATGAATGGACCTCTGACGGCGTAAAAAAAATGCCAAGGAGCAAGATGCAATAGTAGGACAACACAAATGAAAACAACTCATGAGTACAAAGACATTTATCAATTGATTTCAACAATCTCAAAACAAAGGTGACAATCTTTATCCCATGACTGAAACGTTCTTTGCCTTTAAAAGAGCAAACATAATAGCCTGTCAACTGCTTCAGTATATATACGAATAAACCCACAAAGCATTGTTTTATGCAAAGATGTAAATAGATATTCTCGTTCGTTTGTTGTTGCATCCATTGGCATCATCCATAGGAACTCCTAAAAGTTTGAGTAATATCTGAAGCCTAGTAACAACTTATTTCTTAGCAAGCATATCATAGTAGACCTCTGGTCTTTTGGATCCTGAGGTGCATATTGCCTGAAAATCAGATCAAAGTCGAAGCTTAAGCAGTTGGAGAGGAGATAAACTTTTTTATTTAAATTGAGTCTTTAACACGTCCTGTAATGTGGCTTGTGCAAGCCAGATTCATTTTTTGTAGAAGGGCCTAATACGTGTCTGCAAAACTAGAACTCAGAACCTTTTTTGTGCTTTAATTTGACAAAAAATGGCTGAAACTCTTACTTGCATAGCAGAAGCTACATGAATCAATAACGACTCAGACCAAGGTTTCCCAATAAACTGAAGACCGATAGGCAAGCCAGATTTGTCATATCCAACCTATCAGCAAAGGGTTTAGATCACCATATGTTTATTAAAGGAAGGTTATAAATTAATGTTAAAATACATAAGAAGTCAAAAGACAATTTGTGAGAACAAACCGGGACAGTCACAGCAGGAAGTCCCAAGAAGTTTCCTGCTATCTGGTACCGTACCAGGGCAGCTGCAATATTGACAAATAATCAACTTCCTCTATTCAATGCCTTAAAGCATTGACCAGTAGAGTTTTATAAACAGTAAATGATGCAGGACAGTATAAGAAAGGTAACAAATACAAGAAATTATCGAAGTGCAGTTTCGCAGTATGTTTACCTCCATTAATGTAGTCGAGTTCACCAGTTTTCAGTGCATCTTCCTTAATTGTGTATGCGGTGACACTGTTACAAACATTGCACAAAGTCTTCATTAATATTTAGAAATAAAGTCACGAAAATAGAAATTAGCCTGCTGAATAAAAATTTTCCCATATTCCCCAGAAGAACCCTTCATTGAGTAGAGTGAAGAATCCCAATTTATTAGATAAAGTAAAGAAAATCTTTACAAAAATACCCTAAATACAAGAAGTGAGAATTCAGAATACCCTGTTGTTGGAGTAACGATAACGTCTGCTTTAGAAAATATCTTGTTGTGGATCTGAAGCTGCCGGTTCCTATAGATGTTTAATGGTAAATAGAAATGGAATCTGAAGAGTGTACAAGTTTAAATGTCATGATAATCAGCTTATAATTTACCTGATTCTCTGTGCGTTTAAGTACTCCTTGCTGTCAAAAGCCCCGTACACAGAAAGTCCAACCCGCACGTCCCACCCCATTTCTGCCAGGATCCTGTTCCATTTAGTGCTTTTTTATTGTCAATATCCAGCTTCATTTAATTTCTTACTTCGTTGAAAAGAAAAAACATAACACAGAGATACTTTGGAAGAAACGGCGTACTTCTCTTGGTGGGCAGCAATTGAATTACTACATTCTGATCCAATTGTTAGATAATGTGCCAAGCGCATGACCTCTATCTCTGGTATCGTCACTTCCACAGTCTTAAACATGAAAAAGCTTTTAAATGAGACTGAATTATCTCTATCCAAGCATTCTTGCACGCACGTCGAAATTTGTATACGAAAATAGAATATAAGCTCCATGTATAATAAATACAAGCGCAGCAAGTTCGAGTTTGAGTTAACATTTGAAGTTACGGGTTTTATTGTACCTTCCAGCCATACTTATCGGATAGTTTAGCAATAGCATGAGAGCAGCAATCTCTGATGTCATCAGTGCAGTCATCAAACCACTAGTCGAGCAAAGAAGATACGTTAAAATAACATCCATCAAAGCAAGTAATTCAACAGCATTTAATGTTAAATAAGGAAGGCCAAGGAAAGTTTAGGTGAATACAAACCTTTCCAGATCTTGCCATTCTGATGTTAAAAGACATATAGTTTGCTGATTTCAGCAGCGGCAGACATACTTGAGGCTGGATTTTTCTCGACACAACATGAATACAGGTCAGTAGGTTTTGAGACGCACATTGAAAATTAAAAAGAGACTGAATTGACGTTTTGAGATTTTCTAAAATAATATCCAAAACCTTCCTAATATCGCTAAGCCGTAAATAAGGTTAACGACCCTTCGATAAATGAGTAATTACGAACACTTCTCTTTGACAATGCATTATTGGCATCGTGTCTTCATAAAAAGCCTGGAGGAATATGTGATTACTACAAAGATAAAACGGAACGTTGTAACTGTTTTGAGCATTTTTCACAAAAAAATTTCATGTGGCACGACTCAAACTGAGGACACGTGCATCTTCTAATATCATGTTCAACTACCTCATCTCAAAAATTATTCAGTTAGAGACAACGTGTTTATTAGTTCAAATTTATTCTCAACAAATTCTTATGAGAAATTTCCCAACATAAATTTCCAATCGAATATGAAACACACAAAAAAACATGTAATGTAACTAATACCATTGTCATGCTGGATGAATCCGATGAAAGGTTGCCACTGAGAGCTGCGTATCTGCATATTTATACTGGTATTAAACTTATAGTAGCTTATAGCAGTTGCAGCCAAGATCTCCTATGGCATATTTGGTAGGGAGAATTGGATAACACTTGACAATATTAATGAAGAAAAATAAGTTAAAATCTTGTCCATTCTATAGTACTTCTACTAAACATAGCCTAAGAGTCAACATTAACAAGAAAATACAGAAACTGACACAATGAGTGAATCCTCGACTGTCGCTGCCAGTATGCCAACCATTCCGACTGTATAGTTCAGGGGAAGAATTCTGGCAAATTAAGACATTGTGTTGTCAATATTTGCATGCACTGCTTCTTTAAGGAAATGAGGAACTTTTGAAGTTCAATAATATTCGGATTAAAAAAAAAAAAAACTTGTAGCGCACCCATTGTGCGGCACACGTCCAAAAGTTGGCTTCAATCCAACAACACCACAAAGGGCTGCAGGAAGTCGAACAGATCCTAATAAAGAAAAGAAAATAAATAAAATATTTTAGTTACTTGATGATAACATGAACCTTAAAATTGACTGATATGCATAAACAGTTCATTTAAGTAAAGCTTAACTTGCTATAACTCATAATCTAAGAGAAAGAATTAAGTTTAGATTCAATTAACACGTTTTGGCATAATTTTCAAGTGGCGAGGACTGGCTAGCAATACTCAACAAGTCAACTTGTGTTGTTGAATTGTCTCCTAAACTTGGATTAAATGAAATAGTGTGTTAGATGTAATATACCTCCCCCATCAACACCGAGCGCAACAGGGCACAATCCAGCAGCTACTACAGCAGCAGATCCACTGGAAGATCCTCCCGTAATTTTTCTTGAATTATATGGATTCCTAGTGGCTCTTCAGTAACCAAAGGAGGAAAAATGAGCATCAATTTTGATCTACACGGACCAATTTTGTGATTAAAAAAGCAACATACATATTGAACCACCTCATCTAAAAGCTTAAACTATTAAATATGACACGCTTTAATTTATATAAATTCTACTCTTCAACCTTATAGATTTTAACGAGGAAAATATTAAGAGCATTATTCGATAAATAAATCACGGACACACTAACTAGTTACTCGATAAGAGCACATACGCATACCCATAGTGAGGATTTATCCCACTAATTCCTGCCCCAAGCTCGTGCATATTTGTTTTACCCACTATTATGGCACCACATAAGCGCAGGCGCTTAACGCAGCATGCATCCTCTGTACAATGTCGTACTTTGTGCAACCACTTTGTACCTCCTACAATGAGTCAATTTTTAGTACAGAAGCAACTGCTTACATGTAATAGAATTGGAAGGATCAATATACCGAACCAAATCCAAAAGAGAATAAGAAAACAGGTTATCACCTGTTGTTGGGTATGGCATGCAATCTATTTCATCTTTAAGAGCAATTGGGACTCCATCTAGTACTGAGAGTGGTTTTCCTGGAAGAAAACAGATGAAACAGAGAATCAGAAAATGCTTCTGCATCCAATTCGAATGAGGAAAACCGAACAAATGTAACTGATTTGATTGGAAGTCAAATGTATTCTTTCTGTATTTACAGGTTCAAGAAGTGGTAGAACTGCTTTTAATATATTGTCAAACCGAAATCACTTCACGAAAACTTGGGAACTAAAGTACGTTGGAGAAGTATTTATAAACACTTTAAATTATCTAAACTTTTGGTCAAATCACATTTTATTCATGCATTTTATAGGATCCATAGGTTCTACCCACTTTTTCACCACTTATTTTTACATGTTTCTAAGTACTATTGTTAATAAACACTTCCCAAACATATATTTAATTTGGATAATTAAATATTGTTCATTTTTGGCCTTTCTGGGACAAACAATTACGAACCTTGTTCATATCGAAGAGTTGATTCTGTAGCCTGCCTTATAATATCTTCGACACTGTAGTTAATAAAGAAAGACATCTGCAAAGAAGGATTGGACGACTCACGGACAGCAGCTATAAATCTATCAGCAACCTGCATCAGAACACAATCCTGACTTAGAAAACATAGGTTAAGCACTATAACTATGACGGCATTGACTCCGAACAATGAGACAATCAAATGGAATGACTGAAGAAATGAATTATTCAATACCATTCGAGGAGTTATTTCTCCTGATGTATAAGCCCTTGAATAATCCAATATTGTCCAACGTTGGAAGCTCAGTTTTGGACTCTCAGATACATCTTCTGCAGATTGAAGACATTCAACAACATGCTGAACCTTTTCTGGTGGGGGCAGATCAGCCTCTACACATTTTACCTCCATTTCTTCGCTGCCTGTCATGACATGTTAAAACGGGATGCAAAACTATCAAATTTTACTTGACACATTTAAGAATTCATCTATTTGAAGTCGTAAACAAAAGTACAAGAAAAATGAAGCTCAAATAACGATGTGACTATTGTAAAGAGGACGGGCGAATCAAGTCAACATCCAAATTAGGCCTTAGAGTAACAGCTTTGTAACTTCATACTACAAGGAAAGTCTTGTTAAGTTAATATTTGACAGAAAATGGTGTAATTTAAATATAAAACGGCGTTGTCTGACCTTTATATGGGTGCAAAGGTTCAAACAGAGGTGACTCTTGTAACTCCGCAAATGACACAAGCTGCAAAATAAGAAACATTTCTAAGCAACATAGACAACAAATGCTAGTTGAAATAGGCATTCAAACAGGATCAACACCACAAATATACTGCTAAATTAGAATTCGAGATAAGTTTGGACAAAATGTACTGCTTCGTGAAAAACTTGTGATATGCTTTTATTGATATCATTCCTGCTTCTGCTTGTAGCATAAGTTTTGGATGAAGCAGTATATTTTCCTCAAATCAATTAACAAATTAAAATGGCTTTAGAAAGATACTATGACTTGGAAAATCTAATCATTTTGAACAAGAAAATAAGTTATTGAATATACCTTGTGGATTAGATTATTTCTCTTCAAGAAGTACAATAATATGCCTCCAAATATTGGTGACTCTAAAAACCAAGCAAAAACTTTAACCAGAAGCCCAGCCATACGAGGAGCTATTCAGCAGACGAGATTCTCATTAGCAGAATGAAAAATAATATTCAGAAAACTTAATCTCGTTACACACCAAAATAAAAAAAAAACGAATAATAAAATCCTAATGAGAAAAAGTTGGCCTTTCACCAACCCACGAACTTCATAACTTCATAACATGTGACACCCCAAGATTCAAATTGAAAAATAAAAAATTATTGTTTTCAATTAAAAATGATTAATAGATGAGAAAAGCCGTAATCTTTAGGGAAATTGCAGCAAGGGTCCCTAATCTTTCACTTTTTTGCAGACTTTATCTTAACTTTCACTTTTTGTCACCCACAGTCCCAAAATTGATGGAGTTGGATTTATTTTTATTTTTGGTTTTCTAATTTAATTTTTGAACTATTTAATGTAAGGAAAATACAAAATACCATTTTTTTTCCTTTTTAATTTGCTCAAAATTGATTAAATTTTGACTTTTTTTTTTGTCAACTAAAGGTGCATATTTTGAAAAGGTTTGGGATCGTGGGTGATACAAAGTGAAGGTTATGATAAAGTTTACAAAAAAGTGAAAGGTTAAGGACAGCAACTGCAATTTTTCCTAAACTTTATAGCTTGTTCGAAAAGGAATTCATGTAATCAAACTTGAATTTATTGAGAACAAGACTTCTCATCATCAATGTCTTAACAAAATAATAATATTCAAAAAAATTAATCTTGTCACACCCCAATAAAAAAATAATTTTTTTTTCCAATTAAAAAATATTAATAAAATTCTGATGGCAAAAGTTGGCCTTTCACCAACTCAAATTTTCTAACTTGATTGAAAAAGGATCCACATAACCAAAATTATCGAGGAGACTTGTCCACGACTCATCGTCAATCTATCTTCATTAATTATACCCGTATTCCGCATCGATGATCATGCATGGAACTATGGAAGAAAGGGGTCTAAATTCTAAGTACATCAGCGTATCCCAACAACAAGAAACTGAAGTCAAATCAAAACCTTAATTTCTCATAAGAAAAAAAGAAGCAAGTGATTACACAAACCTTTGACATTGGCTTGGAGATAAACTTCATCACTGTCGGGACCAAGATCCACACGATCAACAGGCTCGTAAATCACACCTTTAACTTTGAGAAAACCCATTTTAGACCAAACAAGTACTTTCAGACAGTCCTAACAAACATTCATATGTATGTATATATATGCACGTATATGAAGAGAGAGATTACAGAAGAAAACAACGTTAATTATGAAGCTACAGCTAAGCACTTTATGCACACTAGAATTAGATAAAGACGTAGTAATTATATAGCGGGGGAGGCGGAGAAGTCGAGGAAGAATAATTTATTTATAATTACAATTGGAAAAAATTTCAGTAACCTCCTATAAATGAGGCTGTTGGGAAAACAACACCAGAGAGAGAGAGAGAGACAGAGTCATTTTCAGAACCAACGGATTGACAAGAACAAGAAGAAAAGTCATAAACACGTAGGATTTTCCTGTAAAATGGGGTTCGTAAGTAAAGTGTGAGTGACCAATGGAAATGATGGGTGGGTGGGAGTCTATCACACACTCTACTATAGCTTTAACAACCCACCCTTCCTATAATGAAAATAGGTGGGTGAGACTGCAAAAATATATTTCTTTTTCCAATGTATTTCACGAATTGCAATAGAAGTGGTATATGCAGAAAAAAATTTCAATCTCGAACTATTAATATATAATGAATAGACGGTCTAATTAAAAATTATCTCCAATAAGTTTAGTGCTCGTTTGATAAAGATTAAAATCCAATTAAAATTGAAAATATAACTATTATTGAGTCTCACTCGTCTAATAAAAGTCAACAATGACGATTAATTTTCAATTTTAATCCGATTTTAATCTGCCGAACACGCCCTTAATCTATAAGTCACATTTCATTAAACATGTATTTAATAGAAAAGAAAAAGATAATAATTAGGGGGTGGGAGAGAGAGAGAGAGAGAGAGAGAGAGAGAGAGAGAGAGAGAGAGATATTTATGCTGATTCACTCCGTTTAGAGGACTTCTACATCTAAACCGTCATATTGATCATGTCTATTTTTTTCCTTGTCACGTAATTGACATAATCCTATGTTGCATTGGAGAGTAACTTTTTTTTAATAATATCTATTTTCACTTGTGTAGCAATCCCTTTTAGTACAATCTACATTAGCATTGAAAATGTTCAAAGATATATTGTGCTAATAAATACTTTTAAAATTGGCTCAAGCGTATCAAATCGGGAACAAAATAAGGTTGAACCGGCTAGTTCACCATTTGGTAAGATTTATTCTACTATTGTATATCGGCCTAGCTATCCAACTGAAATGTTCAAGGATCGAATCATGACCGAATTAATGTTGAACTAGCTGGTTCTTAGGCCAAGAGTTTCTTGGGCCGATTTATTAAAATTTTGATAATATTGGTACTATCGGACAATACTAATGAGAAAGATGAAAATCTCATTAATTTTAGTATTACCCCACGTATTCTATATTTTATTAGACACACGAATTCGCAGGGGAAAAAATGTTTAGTATATTTGAATAAGAATTAAATGCTACACTATACTAAAATGGAAAATTTCATTTAGATAAATAAATTGTAGTAATTCATGAAAATTAGATATTGTAATCATTTTAGTCTCATGAATTATTTATTGTTATGATATTGCAAAGAATTATATTTATGCACTCCAATTTTAACGAAGTTATTCTAATTAGATTTTTAAATACGATGCCTTAGGTTGAACATTTTAATTTATTTTTCTATTTTCGAGGAAAAAAGTGTATGCATAATGCTAGGATAACGTACAAAATTTTAAAATTACAATTTATTCTAACGTCAAACTGCAAATTTTCTCATTAAAAGGCGAGTATAATTTAGAATGGGCAATTAGCACATAACGTCCCCATATTTTATTGTTATTGTGGAAAACGTCCATACATTTCATTTTTTGACATTTTCGCCCTTATTTTCACATTTCATTGCCCAAAATGTCATTTTCATTTATTTTCTCAATTAAAAATTGTGAAATAACAAATATACCCTTTTTAAAAATAAACAAAAGAAAAAAATAATAATTGCAACCATATTCCCAATTTTTTTTAAAAAAAGCACATATAAGTTTCAAATAAATTATTAAAAGGGAAATTAGTATATAATGTAGCCTTTCACCATTATTGCGAAAAACATTTATATTTTATATTTTTATTTTTTGACATTTTCATATTTAATTACACATTTGATTGTGCAAACCATCGTCTGCGTAATAAATTGACTAATTCTATCATTTTTCAACGAGTTACACCTGACAAACAACATATATACAAAGTTAAGTCTCAATTCATTTAAAATAACAATAATTGCTCTAGTTTAACAACACGGATTAAGTGTATAAACTATACTTATCAAATCAACGATGAAGAATGTCATTACTCTATAATTTGTTATCAAAAACACTAATTAATTAAAAGTATTAAAGTAACATTGCAACAGAAATTCCTAACATTTAGTGCAAATTGAAATATCTTCATAGCATTCAATCTTGACACCACGGTCCCCAGCATTTTTTCATTAATGTAGAATAATACGTCTAAGTAAGCAAGCATGGGTGTTTGTTTTTGATTTGAGAATCAATTCTCATTTTCAACCACACATTTTTCAATAAAATAATATTTTCCATCACTTAATAATTTTTTCTTTTTTTTTTTTCAACCACACATTTCCCATCATATCATTATTCAAAAATTAATTCTTCCCTCAAAAATCCCTACCAAACAAGCAATATGTCTCTCACTAGACAGTAAATAGATATTGAATGGCACATGTATGGATTTTTTTTTTTTTTTGATAAAATGATAACACGCACGAAATCTTCAAAAATATTGGTATGGAAAATTTCATGCTTCTTAAGGAGTAATGACATAATATTCTTCTGAGATATATAATAATAAGTAATTTTGTTTTAAAAATTATAAGGATATTAGATTCATGAGCAGATAAAAAATAAGTTTTGTTTTTAAAAAAATTCATCGAAATGAGAAAAATAATTTCTACCGTGTATCCTGGATAATTTAGTTATGTAAGTAATGGTTCAGAATATTATTACATTATATTGTATAAATAAATAATTCAATAAAATGAGAATGTGCATGAGTTGTAAATACATATGCAACCTATCAATTTCTAAAAACCAACTATTTTATATAACATTCTTCTTTTTATTCTAGCTTCCCTCTTTTTCATTTTATCTTTTCCCTCCTATTACAAATTGTTGTGAAACGGATTAGAAGATAATGACAATAATGAAATAATAAAGAAGAAAATAAGAACACAAGAATTTACGTGGAAACCCATTTCGGAAAAAAATCACAGACAAAGGAGAACAATCCACTATAANTTCGGAAAAAAATCACAGACAAAGGAGAACAATCCACTATAATCAATAGTTTTGTGTTTACAATATTAAGATTTCAATAATCTCAATTGAAATTTAAACTCTCAATCTCTCTATATGTTGTTGAATATGTAGAGAATATAATGAGAATATTTTTCTTGTCATCATGCATACATTACACATTACAAGTCGTAATATATATAAATCGTAGAGACAAGTTGTAGGAGAATAGGAGTTCAAAATCGAGTAAAAAAATAAAACTGGCCTAGGCCGGATAAATGTGTCTCTAGGCAACAGCCCCTCTCTCGAGCGACGGGGCAGCAATAGGCAGGCGACGAACTTTCGAGTTGTTTTCCATCGGTCTCGCTCGAGTGGCCGGCTAACAACACAAAGAGAAGTACAATAGTATATGAAAATTTGTGAAGTAATATATAAAATCACTACGGTATCATATAGAATGATTGTTGGGGATTCTAGGAGCTTCTCCAATGCTTTAGTCGACTGTTAAAAAACATTTTCATTTAACAAAATAAATAGTTTTTAAAGAATTTCTTTCCAATGCACTTCGTTCGTCATTTTGTCTATTAAACATAGCGACTCAGCAAGATGTTACATCATTAGACGTGAATTTATTTTTTTAAGAAGATAAAAAAACATCTAAGCATCAATATTAGACTGTGGATATAATCCGTTGTATATTAATTTTGAACTTGGCTATCTATCCTTTAGACGTTAATATCAAATAAACAACAAGTATTTCAATTGCACACTACCTATATAGCAATCAATAAAATACATTTAACATGCTTAGATAATGGTTTGACTCTCTTAAATAAAGAGAGTGGAGCAAATAATTAAAGAATCTCTGAAAAATGATTTAATTTACTTATACTATATATAAAAGTTGTAATGTTGGAGAAATATATATCCTTTTTAATACTTGATTTTGGTTTAAAACAAAAAAAAAAACTCAAGTGTGTATTTTATTGAAAATCAATACCCCGTATTTATGGAGTTTAAAATGAGAATTACAATTAAAGTAGAATAATCTCTTTTAGAGTAGATAAAGCTTATCTAAGTATTCTGATAAAACTAAATAATTATCAATAATTATCTCATAGTTTCCCAACACTCCCATTTGATCATCATTTGTACAATAAATGTCTCATTAAAAATTTAATTGGCAAAAATTCAGTGGGGCCAAAAAAAAAAAGGAAAAATAGTACAAATATTTATAACAAAATCAAAATAATAAAATGTTGTCTCGTTAAAATCTTGTTAAGAAAACTTAACGGGTCAAAATTTGAGCTAAGAAAAAAGTACAACTGCTCCCACGATTTCAATAAAAGAAAATTCATATATTTTTTTATAACATTGAAACAATACAATCTTCATACAAGATATATATCAATCTTTGATAAAGGTCCATTTGATTGAAAGAATAGAAATTTGGTGGAAAAAAAACAAATTTTAGGAAATTGAATTGCTTAAAACTTGTTTTACTGGGAATTGATTGTGTTTGATTGATATTTTTCACCTGGAGAATGCTGAAATTTTCCATCTTTTGATGTTTGATTTGCTTTGTTTTCCATGAAAATTATATATATATTTTTCCAATTATTGGGGTTTGATAGCCATTTGTAAGAATTTTCCTAATCTTCAAGTAACCGGCAACCAATATAGAAAAGACGAACGAATTATTTAAACTTAAGCAGTGTAAA